CTTCCCCAAACCCCAAAAAGTTTAACCTTAGACTGTTTACTATTGACCTCACCCCTTTCCTAAGAGGTCTCTAGGGGGCGTGCATAAGCGCACCAACGTGCCTACTGTCCCTGTCCTATTGTTTCTTTTATTTTTCTTATATGTACCTATTTCATGTATTCATAACTATGTATACACTTATACTTATTATCTTGTAAACAATTGACAAATCAAATCAAATCAATCAATCAATCAATGGATGTACTTGGCACATAAGGGAAATCTGAGCGAAGACCCTCCCAGCCACAGCTACTACCTACTGCTTCAGCAAAAGCTGCAAATCCACAAGAACTCTAAATTATGTGCCAGCTTTGTTTTGGGGAAATGCTATCTTGACTGTAGTCAAAGATACTCAGTTTTTCCTGCATAGCTCTCATAGGACTTAAAATTGGATCATTAGAACTAATACAGTCTTACACAATTTGCAGTTCTACAATCTCCAAATGAAATAAAACAGAGTAACTTGCCTATATATGCCTTTTTCAACATTGCAACTGTGATACAGCTTGCAATTCAAAAAATTAATTATAGGTCAGGGAAAAGAAATAAGGAAAACTATGTCCCAAGGCTATATATTAAGAGAATGTGCTCAACTGTTGTTGAAAACCAGGTGTCGTAAAAGGTTTTTTTAAAAAATACAACTACAACCTGATATAGAATTAAGTTGAAATAAATTTAAAATAAGCAAACTGAAATTGAATTCAATAGCGAGGTGGAAATAAAGAGGTGAAAAATCCAAAAAAGTCTACATATCGTATACCTTTGCAACAATGCTGTCTCTATGATGTTCTCTATGAGGTGCAAAAGCATGCGATAGGAAAGTTTAATATATATTCATTTTCTTCCTCCTTTAATTATTACAGTCATATAATAAGCAAGTCTATACACATTCTGTTAATCGTCTTGGAAAACCCCAAGTTCTGGAATTTGTTTTTCACATTATTCCATGTATGCAAGATGTATTTATCTGCAGGCATGCTGCTAAATAAAGTTTACACTTCTGTAAAAGACAGCAGCTGCTGCCACTTGGGATAAATACTCAGACAGGAGAAACAGGTGATAAGAAATTCTTCTAGCTTATGCATATATGAAGCAATGGAGTTATAAACAGTTGCTCAAGACAATGCCTTGTTTGCCACAGGTACAACATTATATTATGCTTTATCTTTTTAAAACATAGGCACAATCTATCCCAAATCCTTTGAGCAGATATAAAATTGATGGCATTATTCATAATATAGTGAAGCAATCAGAGGTAGCAGAAGACTACACACTTCTATGAACTGAACACCTTCTAAAGATAATCAGATGCATCAAAACACATAATTTCTCTTAAATGGCATCTGGGCAAACTCTGACTTGACTGCTGATTGATTTACAGACTTGATTGATGTAAGTTTGCTTTTTGCTGGCTATCTGATATAGATCAGATCTGAAAAATGCTTGTTTTACCTATAAGAAATGCTTGCTTAAGGACGCATTTGTTTTTTGTGCCAATCTCGAAGTCCACATGATGTTTGCTTGATATTTAGGGCCAGTATAAAAACTTGTGGAACATTTCATTTGGGGTTGCTTGCTTTGAGAGCGATTCTCAAGATTCTTATTCTGCACAGAATCCTAGGGCTAGAAGAGACCTTAGATATCTTCTAGCCAAGGTGTCAAACTGGCAGCCCAGGGGCCAGATGCATCATATGCAGGCCTCACTCACCCAGCATCACAAATAGAAAAAGAATCACAAAATGTGAATCACAGCAAGTTTGACACCCGTGTTCTAGTCCAATTCCCTGCTCAGGGCAGGACTGCTGTACCATTCTGGACAATTTGTCATCAAATCTTGTCTTGAAAAACTCTAGTGATGGAGCACCCACAAGTCTGGGAGGAAAGTTGTTCTTATTACCTTTGGTTATGATTGATGGGCCTGCCAAAATTCCTGGAACATCACAGAGAATTAAGTTATATATTGATCACCAATTTTTAGATTAATAGTGATGGTCTAAAAGGATATATCCTAGCTCCTCTTATAAAGAAGTACAGTGGAACTTTGGGTCGTGAACACTTTTGTTTGTGACCAAATTGGGTTCCGACCAAAAAATCTATGATTTTTGAATTGGGTCAAGATTCAAAAATCAGGTGGTGAACAAACCCGGCCGTGGCAGATTCCCTTTCCACACCGATTTCCCTTTCGTGCATGCACAGTCCATGCATATTTTTGTCTGTGCACGCAGTCAGTTGTGCTTCTGGTCACGATCAAATCAGGTTGTGACTGTAGTCCTGGAGAACCGGTAACAGAAATTTAGAGTAGTTTGGAGTACCGGCAAATACCACCTCTGACTGGAGATTTTACAGTATCCTTCCCCTGCCATGCCTACCAAGCCACGCCCACAGTACCGGTAGTAAAAAAAATTGAATCCCACCACTGACACACATCCTCAAAAATGATAACTTGGACTCTTATTTCATCTACCCTTACACTAAAATGATTAGAAAAGATTAATTTTTAAGTAATAAATCTAGATTTCATGTCTATCTGGGAAGAGTAGGACCAAGGGTTTTTTTCCTGTCAAGAATATTATGTCTTCAATAGCTGCTGTTTATATGTGAGGCAAACTTATTACATCTTGTAGCCTGAAAAACTTTACCAAGTCTTTTTGTATGCCAGTTAAACTAACCCAGCAGACAAAAATCCTAACAATTAAAGGTAGGGAAATACAGTATAATACAAATTTTAAAAAGCAGATGTAACAATATGACAGTAAAGGTGTGTTCTTTATGGAACTAAAAAAATTTCAAGCATAGTTGGAGAATAATTATTTAACAAGATTAAAAAGTTGGAGGCATTGGTGATCCATATACAGCATTCTCTTTAGCCTTCTAATATCAATACTTTTATTAATATTACTTATTTATTAGCTTAATGTCACACATATAGTATATTCATGTCAATTACTTTAATCTACAATAAGGTCCATGGTCAGCATCTACAGATGTATTGCCTCTATATGATCCCAATGTAATACTTTAATATTTCCAATCTAACATGAATATTAAAATATTATATTCTAAATTCATTCTGAACATATTTAATTCAGTTAGAAAGAACTGAAAAAATACATCTGTCAAAATGTATTGTATCAGAACTGCTTACACATGTAAACAGTACATCCTAAATCTGTGGTTTGAGATAGGTGAATTCTCATCCTCATTTACTTTCTAAGCAATGCTTATTCAATGTATATTATTTACATATTTCATTTTGAACTCATTTTTCTGCTTTTTTCCCAATATTATGACATCTTTTTGCCTGATTTGTATTGCAATTTTATATTCGACACTAGATCACAGCCCTAAAAGTTTATACAAATTAATATTTCACTTAAAAGTTACATTATATTCTGCTGGAAATAGTTTGTCCCGAGACAAATAAGATCTATTTCATATGCTAAATAAATACCTAACTAACATACAGTCTTAATGATTTACCAGACCCAATGCTTAGTACAAATACTAGTTCCCTGGCACAGTGTTGGTCAATGATGGATACAATAAAGCAGTTTCCTTCCATGTTATTATTTTGCAATTTTAGTATTAAAAATCTATCAATGATGAAATAGGTTTGTAATGTTATGTTTTCCTGGAGTACACTTAGCTGTGTTTTTCCTAACTATAATTTATCAATTAAATCACAGTTGGCTGGACTTGCACCACATATATTGCCATAAAGTGGTTTGTTTTATTTGGGCTAAGAATGCTGTGCAAATGTAAATGTTCAGTATTCAGGTCTTTTTCGTAAAGAAATTATTTAAAGAGACTCCCCCTGAAGATCCCCAATTGCTAACCATCGGGAGCAATTAATGTTTTTCTTTAAACCTAGGCTGAAGTTCCTTGGCAGCTATTCTGGAGTGCCCCTTTCACGTACAGCAAGGAGAGACTGAATGGTTATGACAAGCTAATGACAGGATTAGTTAATGCAGATAGAAGCCTGTGGGCTCAAATATGATAATAATTCATAGCAAACATTTCCCCAGTTTCAAGATTAAGATCAGGAAAACTCTTAAAACACTTAAAATATACTTCAAATAATAAAACATTTGCTAAATCTTAAAAAAAAACATTTGCTAAATCTATTGTGTCCATGCAACAAACTAAGATGTAAAGTAGCCATATTTAGGCTACTTAGAATGAGTCATTGGTTATACATAGTTTTAGGGTTAGATATTAATTTACCATTTTTTTCTTTTATTTGATCCATGATCCTTTGAATTTGGGAAGAAGAAATGAAATAATGACTAGATTCATGAATAATATAAGGTTAAAAGGGAGTTTGCTGAAAGAACCAAACCAAAATATGGCTACTTTACATCTTAGTTTGTTGCATGGACACAATAGGCAATGCTTAGGTTAAAAATTGGGGAAAAAATATGTGGATATAAACACTAGAGAACAGATCTGTAGTATGCTTAATTTGTTCCTCAGCTGTGAAGTAATAACAATTTTTCAAAACTGATTTGCCATTGCCTTTTTCCTAGAGATGGGAGATAGTAATTGACCCAAGCTCATCCAACTGGCTTTGTGCCCAATGTATAACTAAAACACATGGTCTCTTGAGTTTCTAGCCTGTTGCCTTAATCATTCCACAAAAGTGGTTGTATAGAGAAGCTTAATGTCTGGAAAGTGTATGTTGAACTTTAGCCAAAAATCCCTGACACTTGTACAACTTTCAGGCTGTAAAAAGTGGCATTATTTCCTTAAAATACAGTATGTTCATTATTTTCGGGTGAAGAATTAAGGAGCTCTTCCTAAGTAGGAATATATTAATATATTATTGTCCCTGCTGCAAGATAAAACACTCTAAACAAAGTTGAATTTAATTTTAAAAATTGCTTGACCATCCTCCCTAATTGCTATCTTGCTTGAACATCAATACACTGAATTCTTTTTACAGTTAATTTTAAATTAAATACCTTTCTGGGGGTAATTCTTCCATTGCCATGTTTTCAAGCAAACAAGGAAAGCTTTGCTCCAATTCAGAATCTGAAGTAGTTGATATTATTTCCTGGATATCCTGAAAACTTTCAGGTTCTTCTTTGGCTTGATTTAAAGAAGCCATTTGCACATCTCTACATACAGTTTTTTCCATCCCTTGAAGGGTTTCTGAATGCCTTTTTACATCAGGCCTTTGAATGTCTATGCCGGCTTGCAAAACTGCTTCACAATTGGTAATTAGCATGCTTGTAGTATCTGCTTTAGGAATATCAGTAGAAAAACCTGGTCCTTCTGGTGTGCTCAAATTGATGTCATTTGCTTTTTCTACACTTGAACTATCTTGAACACTGTTGGATCCCAATTTGGACTCATCTGGTGAGTGATCAAGACTTACTTCATTTTTAAAATAAGTAATTAGCTTATGTTCTGCTGTGTCCTGTCTCTTCTCTTCCTCTATGGATTTTTGCAGCCAGTTATTGCTTTCTATGTCATCCAGCATGGTAATAGCTTTGTTCTGTAATGTATATTCATTGGAAAAATTAGGATTTTCACCAACCAATATCCTGGGCTGATCTGTTTGTTCTTTATGACCCTCCAAATCACCTGTAGGAAATGGCAATGTTAAATTCTTGGCTCGATCTGTATTGCCATCATTTCTCTTGTCTGTGTTTTTATTTCTATCATACATTAACTGTTCTTTAGGTTCATCTGTTTCAAAGTTACACGGACCAATTAAGTTATCTTCCTTTACTTCAGCAGCAGTGGCTGTGGCATCAAAATCTGGAACAACTTCTGTAGAGGCAGGAATTATTAAAGACTCTTCATTTTTAGAAGATGGAAGATTGTCCATTTCTTGGTTTCCAGAACTTCTAGATGGAAACTCTACTTTTTCTGTGCAAACTTGGTTCTCTGAAGTATCACTGCTTAAAAAGCAAATGTGATCATTAACCTCTGCATTTATTTCATGACTGCATAAGCCATCCACCTTAACTAACTTGGGGAAAGTTGCAGGAGAGTTTTTGTTTAAGCAATACTTGTCGATAGGACTCTTTTCTGAAAAGGCACTTGGCAAATCATATTCCTGACTATTTGCCAGCATTCCTGTCTGTTCTTGTTCCTGTGCTATTTTCTCTTCAGTGGCTTTGTTACAGACTTCAGTCTCCAAAGGAAATGTGCTTTTGTTTGTTTTCCAGTCATTCTCTTGATCTCCATCTGCACTGCTTTTTTCAACTTCTTCCAGACCTTGCTTAACCTTTGTTTCTTTATCCTCTGGACTAACCTTCTCACTTGGACTCTGTTCAGTGGCAAGGTTAGGCAAGTTGGCAGGCATGACATTTGGTACTACCTGTTCAAATATTTTGCTAATATGTTTCCTGAAATCGAAAAAGCCAATGCCGAATGCCCTAGAAGATGAAATTTCTGGTTCTTTTTCAGATATTGCTGTAGGCTGCCTGGGAACATTTCCTTCCATCTTGGGAAGGTTGAATTTCTCTATCAAATCACCTTTGCTTTCTTCTTCAATCTTACCATGCTTGTTATCTTCACAACTTATATTTGTTGCAGCATCCTCCTTACAATTTGCTTGCTTATCAAGCGTTGAAAGTTCCAAAAGCTTCCTTTCTAAACTTGAATGGCTGAGTGGAGATTCTGTTGAACTGTTAAGCTGCTGGGCTTTGAAATGTGCATCACTTTTATCCCCTTTTAGCTTAATTGCCGAGATCTCATCCTGCAGCTTCTTGAAATTAAAGGGTGACAAATTTCTTTCCGATTGCTTGATCTCAGAAACATCTTGCAAGGTTAGAACATGCTCTTCTGAAAGGAGCTCTTGGCCTGGCATGTAAGATTCTTTTCCTGGGACAGCTTCTGAAGGAATATCATCTAAATTCATTACTCCTAGTTTCCTTTGATGGGTTGTGCTGTTCTCTACAAAAACATCATTTAAGTTGATGGCTGTAGCAGGCGGAGTCTGCAGCCTGGGAGTTGTGTCAAAGATATCTTGACATGCCACAGTTTCCGGCTCACTTTTTTGAAATTCACCTTTAGGGCTATGATGCATAAAATCTGTAGGTTGGTAATTTACTTGGCCGGGCCCATCATGTAGAAATGCCAATGTTGAAAGAGGTGTTGCTTCTGCTTGAGAGCTAACAGATAGAATGTCAGTCTTTTCAACAGGACATGTTTTATGCCAAGCATCACTCAAAGGAATTTCTGGGCTATTAGGTAATTCGGGAGCATGTCCATTCATTCCTCTGTTTTCAGAAGGCAGGAAAGTTACGTCCCGTTTGCAAGTTACTTGCTCTTCGTTCCAAATAGTTTCATTTACTAAACTCAGGCGTTCTACCTCTGTATGTAAACTTTGTCCATCCAAGTCTGCTTCTTTGTTTGGTAAATTAACATCAGTCCCATTGTCCTTAGAATGTTCACCTACACAGGTTAAATTCCCCTGCACGGTGTGTGCCTGTTCAGTCCTGACACTAGCAGTTTTCTGCGTCACTGGAATAAACTCTGTAACGTCCATATTGCTTGTGCATTTGCTGTTTGAAAGTTCATCTAAGCCACCCAACTGTTTAATTATAATAGAGTTTTCAGCAAATGCCCCACTCTGCCTTGCTCCTTCACAAACCCCATCTGAAAATGGAGAATTAGAAACATCTTGCTTTAAGTTGTTTAAGGCTTCTTTGCTAAGACAACTTTCTTCCCCCAGTAGGTTTATTACATTTGGCAGGTTGTTGTTTCGTGAGGCCTTTCCCACAAATTCAGAAATATGTGTTAAAGATGCATCATCATTTGATAGATTCGTTGGTTTTGTCTCTGGCCCACCAAGTACTGTTTGGAGCTTGTGTAGATTGTCTCCAGTTTGTTGTAGTTCACTTTTATCAAGCTCCCCATGGCCACTGAAAAGATTTGATTCCAATGGGTGTACCCTTTCAGGAGATGTCTGGTCAGAGATCTGTCCCTGGAAACTTGCAACTGTTTGAAAACCATTGCGATCCAGATCTTTAGCTTCTGGGTTTGAAACACACTGTTCGCCTTCAGTGCCAAAGGGCTTTGAGCTTTTGTTTGACTGCACTTTGGGAGATGTTATTAAAATGCCCAGCATTGGTTGATTTTCCACAGTGTCTTTAGAATGAGTTTCCAAAAATTCTTTGCAATTAGTGCTCATGAATGGTGAATTGTTTGCCTTTATGCTATTATCGCCTAAGTCTCCAAGCTTTAATGACTGGGGACTGGTTTCTGTTCCAACTGTTGATACTAAAGGGTTGCCAGAATAATCATGTTTTATACTAGGGTCATTTTCTTCAGTTGCTTGTACCAGCTGCACTTGCTGTGTGAAGTCCAATTTGATATGGGTTTCTTGTGCCAAAGTTGTGTCAGTTTCTTTTCTTTTTGTCTCTGTTTTGCATTTCTCCTGCCTTGCTTCATTACTGTCATTCTTCCCCACAGCACTGCCTTGTTCAGCAGTAGTCACAGGTACAGAGTTTGGGTCACTGCCAGCTGTTGAGGCACCTCTTTTACTTTCAGAGTGGGATTCATGCTCTGGTATGTTTATTTTCTCAGTTGCAACGCATTCAGCACTTCTAGCCTGTTCATTTAAGTTGTGGAACTCAAGTTCCATTTTAGACACTGCAATTATTTCTGCATTTGAGGCATTAGTCTCTGAATTTATTTCATCCATCAACTCATCTTCCAATCCCGGTTTGGCGTTTTGAACAAATGGCTGTTCCCAGGATTCCTCTTTTTTATTTTGCAGAACATCATTGTCTTCAGGAGGCAGAGACGGTGAACCATCAGCATCCTCTATCTCTTTATTGACTGGAAAGCAGAGCTGAATATCTTCTACGCTGGGATTTAAAAGATCACAAGTCTTCAAGCTGTCTTTTCCTTGCAAAAGTAATCGTTCAGATGACTCAGGATTGGGCACTTTTTTTTCATTTATGGCTGTGGTTTTTTGCTCCAAGTTCTCGCTTAATTCTGGTGAATGATCTTTGAGTATATTCAAATTACATTCTGAACTGAGGTTGCTTTCTAGAAATTTGCTACTGATGTTGGTTTCTAAGCCACTTACTTGAGAATTCCAATGATCATACCAGATAGCATCTGGACTTGAATTCATTTCAAAAGTTAGTGGCGTCTCTTGGGGACAGTTTATATCTTCATGTATAACCTGCCTTGAGAATGGCACCTCTTGACATCCATCTTCTTCATTTCTGGAAGACATATGTTCATATTTTTCAGCTATTATAGTTTCTTCTTTATTATACTCAGCAAGGTCACTCACACTCATGAAATGTCTTGTTCTGCTGTCAAGTAACAATAGCTTATCCCCAACAGATTCTTCCTTCACCGTACACATAACATTTTCTGGATCAGCTAAGGCTGTATTTACCCTGCTCATAGATTCAGTTTGTGTGATTTCATTGCTGCTCATCTGGTCTGCTGTGTTCTGAGATGTATTTGCTTTTTGCACTTTGTTTTTATTTTCCGGCAACAAGGATGTATCAGAAGGTTCTATGCTAACTGGTAAATCCACACAATAGGTGTTTGGTTCTGGATTTATAGCTTCTTCTAGCCATTCTTTTTCAGATGAAAAGTCACCGGTTAGTTCTGTCTTGGTTAGTGGTAACAGGTTTGCTGTGTTTGAGGATAAGGTGGATACAATAGGAGGATCCTCAAGCACCTTAGTACTCTTTTCTGGAAATATTTGGAATTGATTGTTCCAAATATTCACTTCACTGTTGCTGTCTTCACTGATGACACCTCGGAACTCAACAAGGCTCTGATCAATAACAGATGTTCCATATTTATTCATGTCCGAATTTTCCTTTATTAGATTATTTGGAATACAGTTTTCTTTTTTCATTACCAGGTTGCCTACACTACCTGTGTTCAGTCCCACTGGTTTTATTAAAGCCTCTTCCTTGTTACTCACTTTTAATTTATTCTCCTGTCTGATTTCTTTAGCGGTATAAGAATCTCTGCCTTTCTCACTCTTAGGCAGCTGAACAACGTGTGTCTTGTCTCCTTCAATCAACGGTTCACTGTGTTGCAATGAGTCTAATTCCCTGGAATTGCTTTCCTCGGTTTCAGGTTCTGATGTCCAAGTAGAATCTAACGAAGGAATATGCTCCAAAGCAGTATTATTTGGATCTTTCTCAGACTCTCTTGCAAAAGTAGTTGCATAACGCTCAGCATCTGTTTTTTCACTAACAAGAGGTACAATTCTGGTGTCTTTATCATTCACAATAGAAGGGTTTGACCTCATGGCTGGCAAGCCTTCAATACTACTTTCAAAACTTAGTGCAGTGCATTCTTCACCATGCTCAGAAAGTGTTGGCATATGTTGCCTTTGATCTTGTCCTCCTTCTTCCGTGGCTCCCAAGGAATCTCCCTCATGCAGGTTGTTCTCCATCACATCTGGATGTGCCACAGCAGCGTTTTCATTGGTTGATTCTTCAGCAGTGATACTATAGAGGCTTTCATTGTTTAGGCTGCCAACAATGGAAACATTTATTCATTTCAATTTGGCAATAAATTGCACATCACAGAAGTTTGAAAGCCATACATGCACATGCACTGAAAAACTATTGGTCTGCTTTCATGAGGCAAGAAGTCAGAGGCATCAATGATATACAAACTCAGCAAGAGAATCATTAGATGCAAATGTATTCTGTAGCATTTATTTATTGATTTGATTTTTATCCTGCCATTGTTACTTTATAAGTAGCTCAAGGAGGTGAACATACATAATATTCCTTTCATCTCCTATACTGTCCACAACAACGGTATTTTGTGCTATTGTATGAGACATTTGAATTTATGCAATTGGCTGTTGGTTCATCTGATGTTCATGATAGACTTAAAATTAATCCTGATTTTGAGTACAGAATATAGAAAATTTGTCAGAGCAGAACTGAATTTTAGATGAAAACCTAGTAATAGAGATTGACCATGGTCTCTGGATTTCAAAACTCTTCCAGTTTAAAATTTAGATCACCATTTCCCAGTCTTGTGCTTCTCAAGTATGAAGCGACTGTAACTGTCAACATTGTCAATGGTAATTCTGGCAATTATATAGCTCCAACAGTCAAAAAATACCATTTGGATGTACCTCAATTAGACTTCTATATTGCAGCTTTCTGTGTGTAATAAGTTACAGTTTAGATCCCAAACCAATTTACTATGGAATAAATGCAATGAGTGTAGCAATACTGAATTCTGAACAAATGTGTAGGATCCTTATCAATTCATGATATGCTTTTTTACCCTGAAGACAAATTAAAATACTAAGTATTTTCATATACTAGAAAGCCTGGCCAAATAACATTCTGATTCTTATTCTACATGTTTTTCTAACTTATTCCAGTGAAACAATCTTAAGCTGGTATCATTTCCTTAATTTGATAGCCATTTTCTGCCTACTATCATGCCTGAGTGGCCTCCTTCTTAAATTGAAACTGACCAGTTGTTTCTTGGTACTTAACATCAATTTTCCCCTCAGTTAGCAGATCTTGCCTGCAAAAATGCAGATGATCATTAGAGGGCAGCAAAGTTCAGGATAACATTTTGCTGCAATCTTGAGGTCTGGATTGTTGCAGCCCAGATCTGGTAGGCCTATACTTGTCAGGTACTTTCATCTTGACTTGCACATAATCTGACCTCTTCATATTTGCTGTATGTCCAACTGTTTTATGAGTGCCAATGTATTTCAGTAGCTGGGAATGCAAACTTTGTACTACCGTAGCACTTTCACTAGAAAAATGGAGAATACTGTATTCTGCCCCGATAACAATTAAGTTCAGATTCAAGAAAGTTACAAGACATGAGATTAAATAGAGATTACCAGCACTGTAATATAACTCGCTAGGAATTTAGTAAAGTTTCTCTTTTTATTACCTTCCTAGACTTCAAAAATAGAAAAAGTCTTCAAGTAGAGTGGTGGCCACAGTACTTGGCTGGGCATATTCCACTCAATTTAGTAGATTTAAAACTTACGGATCTGATCAACGATTTTCTATAAATCAAAACAACTCTATATTTAGTACCTAGTGTGTAATTAGAGTGTACAGTACACCTCAGAACTTCATGTGTTCGGTAAAACCCTCAGAGCCACTGCAAAAATTACCACTAAGTTATAATTATTAATACAAACAAGGGGGAAATAATTTAATTAACATGAAATAGTATTTTTTTATTTTAAAAATATTTACAGTATTAATGAAATTTTAATTTAGCTTCTTTCTGGTAAGATCCATTTCCTTGTTCTGGTTCCACCTAGTTTTTGCAACGTGACTCATGACACGTCATTGAAAGTCAACAGGAGTGTCCTTTCCAAACTCCAAATGAATCCTGAGTCACATGCTGAGACAGGACATTGCTATAATTGGCTATTTAATATGCTGGTGCTACTGCCTTTGATTTCAGTTTACTTTCAAATATTCTTATGCAAACAGGAATCAATTTTAATATCATTTCAAAAAACGTCCTTGCTGTTTTTATTTGAAATATATGCTACTGTCAGCCAGGCATTTCGTTACGTGTACTTTTTACCAATTTTAGATGATTAGAGAGTATGTTTAAATACATTGAGGTGCCTCATGAGAACAAACACAATACAAATTATGCTGCACATAAAGTTTGATTTGCCATGCAAACATGCATTTCCTTTCAAATATAGCACATACCATTATGCCATTGGACCTAATATCATAGCTGGGGTGATGAAAAGAAATTTAGAAATACTTTCAGAATTCCATAAGACTATTAGCTTACTGCAACACTGATAAGGGAAAATATTCATAAGACCTCCAGCAATTGGTTTGCATTGTTCAAATGAATTGAGTACCATTTTTCATACTCAAACTTAAGAAACAATATAGTACTAAGAAGCATCTGAAGAAATAGAAATGTCCACATGATCGGACTTCCAGAGAATCAATGTAGGACTGAAGATTGCCCTATAGAAAGCAGTTACAAGGGCCGAGAAGAAAAGAGCTCCCCAAACTCCTCAGATGAGGGAGAGGACCAGGTATCCTCACCAAGGCACCAAGGCATCTCACAGAAGCTTCGTGCTAAATGACTGTTGAAACTGTCTGGCAGATTTTATAGTGTCTCATATAGTGCAGTTTTAAATGGACACTGGGTTTGCTTAATCACTTCTGAAAATGGTTTATTAACTGCTTTAGGGATATTAAGAACCTTCAGAAGGGCAGATGTCTATGGTGATTCTCAGTCATCCAGGCAATGGTTGTCCCAAAGGTGCTTTTTAAAAAAGCAACTGGACTTTCTGATTTTTCTTTGAAGACATTTTGCTTCTCATCTGAAGAACTTCTTGGATGAGAAGCGAAATGTCTTCAAAGAAAATCCAGAAAGTCCAGTTGCCTCTTGAAAAAGCACCTTTGCTTTAGAAGGGCAAGTTTCATTACGCCATGATCAGTGGTGGTATACTACTGGTTCAGCCTGGTTCTGGCATACTGGTAGCGCCAAAGATTGGTGGAGACCGAACTGGTTCTCTCTGAGGAGCTGTTGGAACAGCTGTTGGGCCCACCCGCCCATCCTGCTTCCTATACTGACCTTTATTCCCTGCATCTGTTTTGCGCAGCACAGCAGATTGCCGCGTGTCAGTTACTGAAGTGACAGGGAGAGTGCAGGATTTCAGGAGGTGAGTTGGAAGCCTCTGCACTTGTGCAAAGTGCGTGTTTGGCGTGCACATGTACGCAAAGTGTGTATGCGTACTCAAAGCGCACCCACTAAGCCACGCTCACCGAACTGGTGGTAAACTATTTTGAAATGCACCACTGGCCATGATGTAATTTTCCTTCAAACCTCAGCAAAAGTTTTATGTAAGGTTAAAAAGTTAAAGATTTCTTAAGCTGAAATAAACTGCAAAATGGTGAAAAACACATTACTTTTGGAAATAGACTAGACTAAATAGAATAGACTAAGGGGCCAGATTGACTGGAAATAAAACTTTGAAGTAATTTTAAGAATACTTCCTATAGGCTGTTTAAAATTCTATTAAGAATACATAAAATTTTGAATGTAAGGAAACTTTCTATAGGAAAGTGTTGTGGATTAGAAAAAATATATGATCAGAGGAAACCCTGAAGCAGAGGTGGTATTCAGCAGGATCTGACTGGTTCTGGAGAACCGGTAGCATAAATAGTAGTTCAGAGAACCGGCAAGTACCATCTCTGACTGTAGATTTTACAGTATCCTTCCCCTGCCACGCCATGCCCACAGGACCAGTAGTAAAAGAAGATTGAATCTCACCACTGCCCTGAAGGCTGGTAACAGGAACAGGGAAAAACTAAAGATTATAAGTGGCAGAGAGATGCAGTAATATAGAATAAAGGAAAGTATTTTAATTTTGGAGGAATTCAAGGGAATTTGGCAACAATATATAACTTTCTCCTAAAATTACATGCTACTATATAATGGGTTTAAAAGACGAAATAGAAGATGATATGGCAAAGATGTTACATGGAACTTATAAATAATGAATGTGTGGAAGAGTGATTTGAACATCATGTTAAAAAGAAAAAAAATATTGGCAAGTAACCTAGTGAATTTGAAGAATATAACAGTGTGATGTTATATTCTTCAGAATAAATATACAGTATGTATGTGTGTGCATATGTGTGTGTATGTGTGTGTGTATTTGTGTATACACATATATACATTTACAGCTGTTGAAAAGCACAGTAACAAGAAGAATATTAGTATGTAGAATATAGTAATTTATTCTAAGGATTTGTTTGTTATCTTTAAAAGAATCTCCTCAGTGTCCTTTCCAAATAAAATACAAGTTGTAATAGTGTCAGATGTTAATAAATAGAAAAAGATGATTACAACAAAAGCCCAATCCATACTGATGTTGTTAATAGCACTTAGACTTATATAGATTTATACACCTCTATGTGGTTTACAGATTCAACATATTGCCACCAATAATCTGGCTCCTCATTTTACTGACCATGGAAGGATGGAAAGCCGAGTCAATCTTGAACTGGTGAGGATCGAACTCTTGGCAGTCAGCAGAATTACTGCACTCTAACCACTGCACCAACTGTATACTTTTGTAAGTCTCTGATTATAATCAGTGAAGCACACTGCCAAATAAATCCTGTCCAAGCTGAAATCTAAGGTTTCAAAAGAGGATAGGCCAGAATAGACCTGCTCATAATTATTTATATTTTATTATCACAATAAATACTCCTAAATGCTTTAGGAGTAACAAATATAATTTGATTTTAAAAGTTTATGACCTATCTGGTCTTCCACACTGCTGTTTGATAAAGATTAGGAGACTTACTGATCAAATCAGATTTTGGTGTGAGGAGAGAATTCAACATGCTAAATTGCATCAGTCACAACATACTTAATATCAAGAGTCCTTTTATATTATATTTCAATCCAGTTCCTCATGTTTATTGAAAGTATGAACATTAAACTAACAAAATTTAGCCAGCTGTAAACATTTCACATTTTGTTAGGTGATGTCATAATATTGGAATATCAATGTATCTCCTTGTAGATAATGTGGAATATTTTACATCATCATTTTGGGATAATTTCTCTAACTGTCATATGAATACCTAGATTAACATGCAGAAAATTTTATCTAGAGGCCCAAAAATATTGGCAAAATTTACACAACTGGATAGAAGAAATGTGTGGAATGAAAATAGAACATAGACCAGAGTTCTTTCTGTTGGGGATCAATATGAGGAAATATGGTAAAGAAAATATATATCTAATAATCCATGTAATAACTGCAGAGAGGCGTATGCACAGAATTGGAAAAGTAAAGATATCCCAAATGAATTTAAAATATTGATGAAAATCATGAGATGCACAGAAATGGATAAACTAACAAAGGATAAACTAATAAGGAGGATTTGGATTATTATAAAACATGGGACAAATTTTATGGTTGGCTAGAGATGAGGAAGATTCATGCAAATAAGGAATGATTATATGTATATTTAATGTATATGGATTAAATTATGTAATATTATTATTTGATTTAGCAAAGTAATGACAAAGATTGATATTAGGAAGACTGTACCAGGTTCAACATTTTTATTTTAATTTCTGTTTGTGTTTGTTTGTTTAATAAAGGAAAATTTTATTTAATTTTTTTTTTTATCTAGGGAGGGTGGGAAACTAGTGATTTTCAAAAGATACTAAATTTACTTCATAGTAGATTTCAGTATTACCTATGCCAATGTGGCATTATATTGAAAGTCACAGCTTCACTACATACTGTATGTGAAGAATATGCATTATATATTTTGAAATATGAAAGAGAATGAAGGTTTTTTTTTAGCGTCTAAGAGATGTTGGTAGTAACTCCAAAATACAAGTAACATAAAACTCAGCCACTGTTATATATGTTATGAAGTTTTACAATTGCTACCCAGCATGAATTTAGACCAAAATGGAAAACCTACAAGGAATCGTAATCTCAACAACAAATACACCAACATTTCTCTTTCTAAACATTTGTGCTCAAACTAGTTATAAGAAGGTGAGGGGGAGATAAGCTCTTCAAATGAAGGGAGAATGTCTTCTTTACATATGTTATCTCTACTTCATGCACTTAACATATGAAGGGGAGTTATTGTGTCTTTAAAAAACTTGGGTTCTTGAAACTCAGGTCATTAGAAGTGGTTTGTAACTTGCTTGCAAAGGAAAATTTTATCATTGTGCAATTTTTATTTATCATTTTACATGAGCAATGTGTCTCAGGAAACATACACATTTATAAAATAAGTGTGTTTTTAAGAACAAGAAATCTTTCACAATGAAAAACTAGCAGGTGTAAGAAAAAATAATTCTGTTCCAATTGCAGTGTTTCCACACTTTGCTTTATGTGGTTTAAAATCATGAGAGTGTGAAAATTCAGGTTTCAGTAAGCTAACAGACTTGTACTGCATTTCCTCATTAATGCATTTTACTTTTCTCATGCCAGTATTTGAACAAAACAATTAAAAACAAAAAGGTAAGAAAACCAAGACTGAGGCTTCAGAAACATGCAGAAGTCAGGCAGCACTCTGTCATTTAGAAAGCCCAAATCTAATAAACAGTCAAAAACAATGTAAAGAAGGCTTAAAAGGCCAGAATGGTTTTTTTTAAATCCATAAACAAGATGCAAATCCAAATTCATAATTACACAAAAACCAAGGACATTTTCTTAAATTAGCTATACCTGCTCAGGAGAGGATTCTGGGTCTTTAACTCTTCATTTATATCAATTCCAGCAAATAGATTATTTGGGATTAGGGATTGATGGGACTCCCTTTCTTCCAAGTTAAACACTCGAGGCCAATTTCCACTGCCAGAAAAAGAAAAGGGGTTGTAGAAAAAGGAACACATCCACAATTCTTAACACCAAATTTAAAATGGAAAAATCAATTTGGCACACAATATTATCAGACATTTGTGATTTAAATCAATGAACTTTTATATCTGCCCATCCTTTTTTTTTAAAAAAAAATAGGCCTTTGGTCTCTTCCCACAGTGATGAAGATATGGAATGGGAAATCAATCTGTCCAGCTTATCAGACTGGACTTGGGATCTTATGACACTTTGTAGTTTAGTTGTAGTACCACATAAAGCAGGTCATTATTTGATTCTTTCTTCATTCAAAATAATGTGTCCTGTTCCTTAATTCCAAAGTGCTACTTTGGATAAGATAGCTTTGGTCATCATATGCATGTACTGAAATGATATTAATAGGATTCTATTACGTTCTTGTATTGCCCATGGATATATAAAAGGAGTTGAGTAATAAGTGACGTTTAATTTGTAATGTTAGTTGAGTTACTGGAGTAGATTCCCCAGGCAACAACTTCCTGGAAACTTTAAATGTGATATGCCTTCCAATTACTTACTTCACTAACAAAGAAAAAACATATTCTGCCTACCTTGTATCTTCTGCAGTTAATGAGAAACTATCATCTGGCAGTGGTAATGAAACTGCAGAATCTGATGGTAATGTGTCCAAGTCATCTTGATTGAATGATTTATCTCTGCTCTTTTTCCTTGACTTTTTAGTTTTTATTTCTCTCTCAGTATTAAGTGGCTCTGTTGATTTTGGAACTGAAGGGCCCTCCTGGGAAAAGAAAACAAAACATGAGTTTTAGTTAAAAAGCAAACAACCAATACTTCTTTTTTAAATAGCAAAATAAAAATTGTATCCTGTAGAAATGTCTTATTTTAATGTTGTTCAAAGACAAATAATGAATAAGCAAATAATCATAAAATAAAGGTCTGGAACTATGGTGTTGTGTGGGGAGAAGAAATATATGACACTCTTAGCTGGCCCCTATCCTTATCTCTTTTTCCAGCCTATTGACCATTTCCTTTTGACCAGGAAATCTATTAGTACAGCAGAGAGGAGAAAAGGCTGTGCTTTTTAAAAAATATACTTCAGAATGAGGGTAACTTGTCAGTAGTACGTACATAACAAGAAATTTATACCATTGTAAAGATTACTTCATATAATACTTCCACTGTCTTTATTGTAATAGATTTGTGATTTTTGTATTTTATTTCAAACTTTCAGGTACATTTTAAAAAAACATGAAACTATGATCTGTCGGTCTCAAAGAAAGCCTTCACCTTCAGTAGGAATTTGTTAGGCCATTGTAATAGTAAACTGAAATATTAAGAATAATATGCATACAAAATATAATGCTTAAACAATATAGTAAGTACAGATACTAATCATATTGGACACAGTGCTTCAACATCTTATTTTGAATTGTGATTCCCATTGGATTATCATTTTCAATTAGACTACCATAGGTTTATGATGTTTCTTCCTAACCATGGACAGTTGAATTAATATACATTCTTGACAGCAGGATATCTGAGGAGCATTTGGTTGGAATTTTCCCCTTTCAATATGGCTTAATATTTTCTAAGGCATAATACACAACAATAATTCTGACTACATGCAATCCAGTTGTGAATGGCAGGTGACAACCCCTAGCCTACCTTCTCTGTGTTTCAAAGCTAAATAAGTTGAGTTTAGTTAGAGATGAAAGACTATTTCAAAGATGTAAGTCAGAGTAGAAAAGTAAAAGCCTTTGTGGAAAAATACAATAGCAATAATCTCTTCTGAATGGTCAAGATAATTACATGGATATTATCATTTAGAGATAAAGACACCCAACTAGAGGATGTGTTTAATCTCCTATATTGTACCTAGTCATTATATGGTTTTCTTTTCTTTCCTTTAGTGTCATATTGTCTATGAATAAAACATTATTGTTTGAGAACCATGGACTATAGGAGGCTTCTAAGTTTATGGCAGACTCAGTAATCTGTAGGAAATTTTTCCTTTTCTCTTATATAACCCTTAAGTATGGAAAACATCCCAACACCTTCCCTGAAAACAGAAGGTTTAATTCACATTTAAGGTTTCAAGGGTAAGATGAATAGGAAGTTTGCTAGTTCATCACTCTTATTCCCACTTTTAAAATCCCAAGGAACCCCAAAATTAGACTGAAAGCAATCATCCTCCCCCATTGCAGAGCCAACAACACAATACTGGACAGCTTCCTTTGCCCCCTGAAAGGATGATAGATTGCCTGCAGCTCCCAAGCCCTAAAATGTTGCCCATCTATAACAAACTAATGTGTTCTGTACTTGTATTTTGATTAGATTGAAATAGTTGATATCATTTTAAAAATCAAAAAGACAGATATGAAATTGCACTAACACATTTTAATTATAAGCCCATTTAGACTTTGGAGTATGAGTGTTTTAAGTTGCAAGAAATCATTCAAGAATGAAAATGCAAGCACAGATGATCTGAAGCTAATATTACATTACTGTCTTAAATGAAGTTTTAGAGAGTGATCTGAAAGAATAGTTTCTTTCATTTATTCTGTATTCTTCAATGATTGTATAGGTGATTACATTATACACAGTTCCCTTCTATTAATGTGCATTGATACAGCACTTTGGGAACATCCAACTTCTTTTGCAATTACCTTTTGAGGCTTTTCTTCCCTATGGAAGGTGTCAATGATGGTTTTCTGCATAACTGTTAGGTCAGCAGTCTTTCCCATGATTGTGCTTCCTACTGAACCAGACTGAGAGACCATTTAAAGGAACCCTTTGCAGGTGTTATGGATGAATTAGCTGATTAGAGTGGGACACTTTGAGTCTAGAATATTGAACCTTTTCATAATATTCTAATTTTCTGAGATTGTAGATTTGGGGTTTTCATCAGCTGTAAACCATAATCATCTCACTTATGACAAATCACCGCTTGAACTATCTTGCTTTGCATGTAATGAGTCAATCTCATATACTAGGTTCACCTTTTAAGTTGCATTACTGAAATAAATGAACTTTTGCACTATATTCTAATTTTTTGAGTTTTACCTGTATACTAATTAAGAATTCTGCTACTAAAGCAATGTAATGAAATCTTTTGTGTTGCAAGAAATTTAACTCACATACATTTTTTAGAGTGGATTAGTAACCAGATAGAGTAGCATTAAATCTGATTTTATTTTCTGCTTAAAGGAAATGCTCTGTTTCTTTCAAAGATAAGTTTGTTTAAGCTGGCATCGCATCTTAGATGGATCTACCTGTGTTGCCCTTTCTAAATATCTCTGAAGCTTAAGCCTTTAAGACTAACACCTATTTTTTGTTTTTCATTGCTATTTTGTGTTCTTAATAAAATTAATATTTTAAGCAAATGTTATGGGGGTAGCCAAATTATACTTTGTAGGTATGATTGTAATCTCATAATATACCTTAGAATATAATATGCTTGGCCCCTCTAGAGTCTAGATTCTACCAGATACTGGGTTAAAAGATAGTATAATGTTCTTCAGATTACAGAAAGGGGAAGTCATATTTTTTCTTTTGGACTTACTATTATGACCCTGGTTGACCCTGATTAAGAAGACTTATGAAGATTGTCGTTTGGGGCAGGCCCAATGGGGTAGGCAAATAGAACTTTTCCATTCAGTACCCAATTTTCATAAATTTATATGAGACACAGAAACAATGCACGTATATACACACAGTACACACACACACACACACACACACACACACACACACACACACACACATATATATATATATATATATATATATATATATATATATATATATATATATATATAAAACCAAAC